TTGTAAAATAGTTTTTTTATATGTTGCACACCGGGTGAAAAGTCAGTCGTGTAACATCGACGGTCGCTCCTGTACATGGTACATGGAAATTTTTTTCCGCAATCTTTTTTTGTAATAAGCGTATACAGTGTATAGAACAAATATGAACATTGAATACAAATATACTTCCTAATTATTAAGATCAATAAAACGTGCGTATGTAATCCTTTATTTTTGTCGATAATTTAAGAAATATTCGGCTTTAATTTGCTATTTGATTACATTAATATAGAAATTTGGCATTTTAATTCCTCGTAACGAATACGTAATAAAGTTGCATTCAAAAAATTTAAAATAGTTAGTGAATATTTGGCTCACAATAAATAAAAATGCTATAAAAACCTGTCTCATAATTTTAAGTCAGCAATCAAAAAAAACCAAAAAATGGCGAAATATCTAGTATTAATAATAATTTTGTTCGTTAATTTTGTTATGGTTAGTTCTGAAGATACGAATAATACAATTTATAAATCCAATGATCCAGAAGTTTTAAGTCCAGACAAAGATGGAGTTGAAAATGTTTTTGATCTAATGATTGTTATCCTACTTTATTTGGTAGCCGAAAAAATTCCTTTAGGAATTGCAGCAGCAATTTTAAATTTTATATTTAAAGTTTTTGTGTGTTTCATGTCTTATTTTTTTCTTTTAAGAGCATATTACACAACAAAGGACTTTTTTTTTATTCAATATCTTATCATATATTCAATTTTTATACTAGTTGGCATTTCTAGTTATATTCACAGTACAATATTTACAATTAAACATTTACATAAGAATAATCAACCCGTTACGCAAAACAATGATAACCAGAGACATACATGTACTTCGAAACAGAAATTGCATTGTATTTTCTATTTCCAAATCACCATATATACATCTTTATTTATTGCAAACATGATCTTTTTTATTATAGCTTATTATCGTCATTATGTTTATCATTTAGCTTTTCTTGTTATTTTACTTCCCTCACTTATTTTCATAGTATTTACAATAATTGAAATAATTTATTCTGCATATTATGAAGTTGAAATTACGGAACTAAAAGTTTTAGAAGAACGTGTCGAAGTATTAGAAAAACGGGTCGAAGTATTAGTACCTAATGAATCTAGAGCATCAAAACCTAATGAATCTCAAGAATCTAATTCTTCACAACCTAAAGCCAAATGCAAGCAATTTTTTGTAGATTTACATAATAATACTACAAATAGAAGGATGTTGGGTATGTTAAATTAATCTATTTGATTTATTTGAATTATATTTATTTTTATTTATTAATTTTATTTATTTCATATTTATAATAGTAAAAATAATTGGAATATGTTCACATTTCTTATTTTGTACAATCGCTGCTCCTGATTCATTATGGATAAAAGTTTATCTTACATGTGTAGCTATTTATGTCACATTAACTGAAAAATTAGAAGAAAAAGTTTTTCTTTTACTGGAAAAAAATCAAGATCAAGATCAAAGTACACTTTTGTAAAGTTATGTTAGTTTGTATTGAAATTATCGTTGATGTCTATCGTAATTTACTGTAAAAAATTCAAGACTGTATTTTATTTATATTTTATATTATATATATTTTACATTTTCTATTCATTAATTCTATATAGTTAATTATTCATTTAATTTCTTTATAAATTTTGATTTTTTTTTTAATATCGAGCAGAATAAAAATATATTCTGATGTGATACAAAAACTTTAATTAATTGCACGGGTCTTATGTGCAACCCGTGCTTTTTTATTTACTTATTGGCACGAGATTGTTACGTCAGACACCATGCAATAAGATAGTTAGTTATTATATAGGTATATGAATAACCCAGTAATCCTTCGGCACGGAATATGAATCCATGCGTAACTGGGTTATTCAACATACTCATACAATAACTATAAAGAATTTTGCATAAATGGCTTTGAATTTAACTTCACTGCAATATATCAATACTATGATGAAAGCTAACACATCGTAGATAATCATCAGATGACCAGAATTAATTGATCGGCAATAATTGGCCGTAATTTTCATCCCAACTTTAAATTTAGGCAGTTGCAATCTCACCCAGCGCATTATGACAAGTAAGGTTATTATGAAAGAATTGCCACTATGCGGTAAAATTTTGCAAGGAAAATTTTTATTAGAGCGTAAAAGTAGGTTTATTATGTAAATATTTGAGTTATGAACAATTTTAAAAACGGATTTATATATATATTTTTTGATTATACTTGATCATAATTGAATCATTGGTCAATTATCACGTGTGCGGATAAGTTCTCCTATATCCTGATGATGCTTTCACGCAAATGTTAGCCTGAGACAACAACTTTTTCTAAATAAAATTTTTTTAAAACTTTGGACAACAATAAATTAGTTAAATTAATAAACATTTTTTTTTTAAATCAATTCTAAAAATTTTGTAAAATTTCATTTAAAAAAATTTTTACTAAATTTGATTAGGTTTTTGAGCTATAATTTTTTTTAAAAATTTAAAAAAGATTTTAGTGCGTTTCCACTGACACCTTCATATATAAAAAGTAGGTAAAAAATAAAATTCCGGTATTCCGGTGCGCCACAATACTAAGCAGTAGAGGCGTAATACAGAATTGTTAAAATATAAAGTTTATAAATAAACATTTAATATAATAAACATTGTTAATAAATAAATAAATAAATAAATATATAAATAAATAAATAAATAAATAAATATATATACTTTTTTTTTAAAGCCTTCATTTATTAATTTTTTAAGTTGTACGTACGTACATATAAGGAATCTGAACCTTAATTTTTTTCATTTTGAGCCATTTTATAAGATAAATTTTATGAAATAGGAAATGCTTACTATAATTATTATGGAAATTTGAGCTTCCATGATTAACTTATACGTAATGAATTAATTTATTTACTTAAACTAGTTTGGTATTCAGTTATTATTATTGTGCACTAACCTGGTATACATTTTCGAATGCCATCTTTCTGTCTTTGCATTAGATGACATAGGGTCTAAGTTAAGGCTATAGTTTAATGCAGATATGTTTAATATAAATATAGTTTATTATGTACGCCACTGGCGCAAAATATACCTGGCGTACAACATATATAATTGTTATAAAAAAAAAAATTCCCGTCTCATTTTTTAGTCAGTAATCGAGAAAAAAAAAATGGCGAAGCTTCTGATTTTAATGATAATTTTGTTCGTTAATTTTATTTTGGTTGGTTCAGAAGATACGAATTCTACTATTTATGAACCTAATGATCCAGAAGTTTCAAACTCAAGTAAAGAAGGAGTTGAAAATGTTTTTGATTTAATGTTTGTTATTATCATTTTTTTGATAGCCGATAAAATCCCCTTAGGAATTGCAGCTACAATTTTAAATTTTTTATTGCAGCTTTTTGTGTGTGTAATTTCTTATTTTTTCATTATAAAAGCATATAGCATAACAAAGGACTTTTTTTTTATTCAATATATTATTACGTATTCAGTTTTTTCATTATTGAATATTTCTAGTAGCATTTATTTTTTGCTTCGTGCAATAATTACAATTACATATTTACATTATTTTAATAATTCTTCAAAAGCTGCGCAAAAAATTGAGGATTCCGAACAGGAAAAAATGTGAAATTAGATCAATTGGAGAGATTGAAAGAAGGCCAATTGAGTCATATGTATTATTCTTTTGTGATTCAAATCACTATATATTTTTCTTTATTTATTGCAAACTTGATCTTTTTTATTGTAGCATCTTATCATCATTATGTTAATCATATAGCTTATTATGTTGTTTTGATTCCTTCACTTATTTTCATATTATTTACAGTAATTGAAGTAATTTGTGCTGCAATTTATGACATTGATGAAATATCAGAACTTAAAGATTTAGAAGAACGTGTCAAAGCATTAGAACCTAAACCTAAACCTATAGAGTGTAACACGTCAGAGTATGGAAAGTACATGAAATATGTTGTAGGGTTTCATGATAGAATTAAAAATAGAAGAATCATGGGTATGTTTAATTAGTCTGTATCTGATATGATAATCCATTACTGTATTAACTATAGTTATTTTATTTATTAACTTATATACTTATTTATTTATTTTAATAGTAAAAGTAATTGGAATATGCTCACATTTTTTATTTTGTACAATTACTGCTCCTGATTCATTATGGATAAAAGTTTATCTTACATGTGTAGCCGTTTATGTTATATTGACTGAAAAGTTAGAAGAAAAAATTATTCTTTTACTGAGAAAAGATTAATTATAAGTCTATATTTGAAATTTGTATTTTATTTTATTTATATATACGTATATGTTCAAAAAATTCGTTGATTTTCAATCGACACGTGTTATTTTTCAATCTCCGCCGATTGAAGAATAACTTTAAGTGGATTTTTAATGCAATTAGTTATTAAAATTAATTATATCGGTCAAGTGTAATGTCATTAATTAAGGGATCTACAAGTTGCAGCACATATAAATTTACAACGATCTATAGGTTTTGTAAAAAAAAAGACAGGTTTCACTTCTAAGCTAACATTTATATCTTACAATATAGCCAGTATTCTTTATTATAATAAAAAATTTGTTATTTCATATTTATATACTATCTATATTTTTTCCCTTTACGTCACAAACCTTTAAAGTATCTTATTTTGAAAATGGCGTTTTGATACAATCGACGAAATCAAACAAAATTTGATTGGTTGGCATTCTTATTATCTATATAAATTCAATACAGCAATACATTTAACATTTAATTATTCTCAGCTATCTATCTTTCTATTGAATATAGATTGAATTGCCATATCCCATTAGAGGTTTTTTTTTTTACCTATATATTTACAGTCATAAAAATATTGATCACAGTTACGAAATAAAATGCGATTTTGATTTTGATTAATATAAACTGATTAGTTTACTACCACTATTTGCATTTATGTCAAAGTTTCTTATATGCTTAAGTATTTTTAGTTCCATTTTTAATTAAACACTTCAGAGTTCTTCTCCTGACCGCTTTTCTTAATCTCTAATCCAACATTGTTTCATCAGGTTTACAACATATTTTTTACATAATACAGCTTTACCGTACCGTATAGTTGTTAGACCAAAGACGAATATACAAATAAATAGGTTGATTATGTGTATAAAAAAATAAACTAATAAAAAGTTACAAAAAATTTTATTGTATAGTAGGCATTTGATCTTAAATTTATTTTGTGCCAGTGTGTTTTTAATTTGTTATTTGTGTTATTCCATGAGTAAGTACTATGGCTTTTTGACAAGGTTATTTCAACCGGTCTATAACAACCCTGGCGTTGTCCAGAAAAATGAACTGGTTTATTTTTGCTAGCATATATGTAACTTCGAATACTGATCTCTGAATAAATTATAGTTTCTTTACCTTTTGCCACCTTTTGCCAGTTTTGACATCTTTCGTCAGTTTTGATATCTTTTGTCAGTTTCAACACCTTTCGACAGTTTTGACATTTCGTCATTTGAGATTTTAATTGATGAAAGTCAAAACTAGATTTCAACTTTTGTCAGCGTGAAACCTTGAGGTTTCATCTAACAACTATACCATACTGTACAATGATTCATCTTTACAGAAACCTATGTTTTTTTCTAAATATGTTTAAAATATAGATAAAATTTATGTTATCTTAATAATATATAACTTGTTATCATATTTTTAACAGCTAATAAAAATTTTTTCAACCGAAAATTTACAAATTTAATGATAATTATTTATCAATTGAGGTTATACTTAAAATTTAAAATAGACAAATTATATGTAAAATTGGTCAGAGAATATTTTTTATTAGTAAACAAAAAATAGTTTCATAATAAAGATTTGTAGTTATAACCGATTTTTTAAAAATCTTAATTATTTTGATTTTTTTTATATTAAATATAATTCTATATTTAATAAATAAATTGTATAACAAATAACTATTATTTATAGAATATTACTAAATATACACGGGGTATTTGAAATACGGGTATGATTTATAATTAAAAAAATATAAGTAAACATTAAATATTTTAATTAATATTAGGGTTAGAATTGGAGGTTATAGTTAGTAAAAACATTGTTTAAAGTAAAATTTTACAAGGAATTTTTTTTCTTAAACCTCAAAAGTTGGTTTCATAAGCAAGATTTTTAGATATCATTAATTAATTATTTTTTTCTTTATTTTTGTTGTACAAAAAATGATCTACATACTGCATTTAATTTTATATTTTGATTGGCTTTTCTATTTAATTTGTGTAACTACATGTTTAAACACCCCGTGTACAAATAGTAATTGTCTAATATTTATATTTTAAATATATTTAGCAAAAAGCATAGGTTTCTGTAAAGATGTTATCAGTTATTGTCTGCTTCGCAATACTGCAATAACTATATGTAAATCAAATCCTTATTCGCAGCTAACCGCATAATTGATTGTCTATTCACAAAAAAGGAAATCAGTCTTGTGATTAGTACGTTAGGGTTGTGAGCTTTAGCGAGTTTTCTATATGTAAAATTTTATTCCCGTTATTTTTTATTAGTTCACAAAGGTCAATTTAAATACTAGTTTTTGAGAATTTTCGTTTTCTTTGCTTTTTTTCTTCTTTAGCATGTGTTCAGATCCTATGTCAGGCTGATCTGGAATACCCGAAATTTGTGCGTTATTCGCAGACTTTAAAAAGGATTACACAAACTCAAATATATCGATATCAATAAGATTAAGTTATGAATATACTT